CCCCCCAGCATAGCCAGAGTGCTCAGCGACCCTGCCCCAAATGGTCCTCCAAAGCTGGGCTGTGACACCAGAATTGATGAAGGCTGACGATGAAGGCCCTGCCCGAGTGATTCTGGTCACTTGTGGATTCGGCCACTCCCTCAGGGAGCCGCGTACCTGCGTCTGTAACGTCAGTGCCCGGGACACTGTCACGAACTGCTCTGCGCCCCGGGATGGCGTGGGCTCCTGCTCGCCCCGCGATTACGCAACAGGGCCCCCCTGAGCTCCCAGTCCCGTTCCAGAATATCCACGTTGGATCGTGTTTGTTAAAATAAAAGGTGGCTCTGGCCGACGCGGGGGATATCACAAACGCGGCCTGCCGGAGGCTTTCTGAAGAACTAGCTGTGATTATATAACCCAGAGGTCGGGATGAAAAGCCGGTAGGCGCTGGCCTCCCACAGGAATGTTCGGCACACACAGCTGTTTCCACTCTTCCCCTCGGCAAGAAGCCGCAAAGGTCCCTGTGGCCGGGCCTGGGCTCAGCAGGTGACAGAGAGGGGCCTCGACGAAATGCGTCATCAGTCAGATCTCACTTTTTACTGCTCGGTGAGTCCAGCAAGAAGAATGTTTTGGTTACGCTTCTCCAGGTGGCACAGAGCAGCCTGGTCAGTATTAGGCCTTTGCTCTCTGACAGGGTCCTGGGGAGAACTCGGCCAGGAGAGGGCAGCTTCCCCCCCAGTGGAGCAGTGCGAGCAGAGCGTGGGGGTTCTGCTGGGCAGGAGCTGGGGGTGCAGGGGCTGGGGGTGCAGGGGCTGGAGACCTGCAAGGACAGCACTGGCCTCAGGAAGGCCTCCTGGGACTGGTGTTACGTCTCTGATTTGGAGGCCACGTGGAGAAGCAACCTGACCTGAGTCCCCAAAGCACCCAAAATAACACACACAAAGGAGTGTCCTCAGTATAATCAAGAACTTGTACCTGGGAGGCGTTCCAGCCATCGAAACACGTCGAGGAGGCCGGCAAAAGGGGGAGGCACAGCTGTGAGCGTCCCAGCAGGGACGCCACCTATTGCCTATCATGTTGGAGTGGATTTAATTTGTTTTAATTAAATTTATTTTTATTAATTAATACGTTTAATTTATTTACATGCTCGTGAGGGTGCAGTGGAAAGCGCCCTGTGATGTATTTATTGTCAGAGGAGGTAAAACGGATCCTCTTGCCAGGAACCTGGCAACATGTGCCCCAAACTGTCAGAGCACAATCCTCAACTCAGGAGGCCGACTGCTGGGAATTTGTCGGAGGGAAATGGACACGGGCATGGGTGTGAACAGCAGACGTTGATTAGTTACTTAGTAAAAATAATTCGAAGTAAATTTATTTGCCAAATGTCCCTTTTGGAGATAGTGTCGAACCAACCAGGGCATATCTGCGTGATGGATACTCTGGGGCACAGGGGCCTGTTTATTTGCCGACATGCGAAGGTGCGTATGACCTGTCATCACCTAGGGGAGGGGACCAGGCAGCCTCCGCAGGTGGCCGCAGGCTTGTGGAAGGAGACGCACACAGGGGCTGGGAGCACGCCCCCCAAATGCTAGCAGTCATGTTCTTCCGGGGGTATTTTGGGGTGATTTTCATCATCATCAATACGTTTATTTCTAACTTCCTGTCAATAACTATGCAATTTTAAAAGTACTTAAAATTTTATTTTTTTTAATTAAAAAAAAGTGTTTTCTATCTTCACCCGAGGATATTTTTTCCATTGCTTTTTCAGAGACAACGGAAGGGGGGGAGAGACAGACAGAGGCACCGATGCGAGAGAGACATCAATCGGTTGCCTCCCACGTGCGCCCCGACTGGGGCAGGGGACCGAGCCTGCGACCGAGGTACGTGCCCTGGGCCGGAATTGAACCCAGGACCCTTCAGTCCACAGGCCGATGCTCTAACCACTGAGCCAAACCGACCAGGGCTTAAAAGCATTTACAATTTTAAATCAAAAGCTTAACACAGTGATACAATCAATTGACCAGCTAACACTGTGTATTCGAATCTATCCATTTACCTGTATCAATACACGTTAAACATGTAAGATTCTCGGAACGTGTTGCTATGAAGCTAACACCCATCTTCAGACTATCAGGGCCCCAAAGAGCTCACTGGGGGTCGAATGCCTGCATTTCCCCCAGGAAGATTAATTCTGTTCTTCGTCTCTCTCATATAAATTGCCAACATAACAGATTTTTATTAACACACAGAGAAGAGCTTCTCTTGCCGCATGAACTGGTGGGTGTTCTTCGTTGACAATAAAAACTGAGTCACAAATTGCGTTTTTGTGCTCGGCTGCTCAGAGCGAACCCTGGGTCCCCAGGCACCATGTCCCCTGTTCCAGGGTTTCAGAGGGACGATCTCTTTCCCCCTTTCTCTTTGACTACTTGCGCCTGTCTTTTTACTCTCATTTAAAAAGTTACTTCACCTGGGCCTTCTACTGAGGTTCTTTGTAGAATTAATTAGTAATTAGAGCCCCACAGGTCGGCTGTTGGGGAGAAGGAGAGACACAGCGCCTGACGGAGCACGAGGGGCATTTTCATTTCATGACGGGGCAGGAGACCAGGTCGGACGCCAACTCAGGGCCAGGGGCCTGACGCGCCCCCCCCCCC